TGCCCGGTACAATCGCAGAGCAAGAGTCCACGACATACCATGCCTATCGTAGCGAGCGGTTTCAGCTTCTTAATCCCTGGCAAGCTGTCCCCGATAGCTTTCGTCACCTGTTCAAAGCTGGCTTCCGCCAATTGAAACAGCCTCGTGCCCTGTAAAGCAACCGCAAGACCTTTACCAACTGCGGTCAGCCACTTTTTTGCTTCTCCGAAAAATATCGCCCCTTTCTCCACGATATTGCTGGCCCTGGCCTCGGCAGTTGCAGTCTGGTCGAGTCCATTCGCCTTTTCAAACTCCTCTATGTCCTTTTCCAGGCCCTTGCGCACATCTTCGTCGACGGACGGATCTCCTTCAAGAACACGTTGAATAAGATCCCTCATCGAATCATGTAGCCATTGACCAGCCAGATCTTCATCCGGGTCAATGTATGGATAGTGAAGATGACGCTCACTGGCAAAGCCAACGAAATATTCGAACCACTGGTCGGCTAATCCCTCCGATGGTGCCAATGCGTCAAGGATACAGCACTCGCGGTTGATCACATTGACGTTCTGAACGAAACATCGCATTAATATAGGCTCCCGCTATAAGCGCAATGGTCTTACTTACGCCCTGTATAGGATGTGCTAGATATGTCAACATTCGACCTTTGTCCTTCAAAGCGGCATAAAGAGTGCAGGCCCATTCTTTCGGGTTGTCGTCGAAATATTTGTCAAGTACATCCGCATTGAATTGGCTAACGGCTTCAACAGAAGCCCGGCGGTTGATCTCGGCATACTCCTTCGACTTTGCAAGGCATTTGTCACCCTACATGACAGAAAGCACGGTTAGCTTCCACATATTCATCAGGGATTTGCTATGTCGCTTAACACTCACATTTCCGTCCCACCAGTATCGCATGTTCTTCTTTTCCTGATCTGTGAAATTATCTTCGTATTTCTCGTAGCGCATTACAGACTGACATAGAAATGCGGGTGCGTACTTTTCTCGAAAGAATTTCTGCAGGTCTGTCGGCAGGTTCGCCCCTAAACTCAAAGGTAGATCTTTGGGCTTGCTCTGACCGGTCAAGTCTTCGCGCTGATCGTCATCCATGTGGTAGAACATCATCGATTTGATAAGCACTTGAGACATATTATGGATCTGGACCGCGATACGTGGTCAGTTATTGAAGTCACTCGCTCTACTTAGTTATAGGCAATTGTAACTTACTGCAACCTCATCATAGCCAGGTGGTGCAAGAAGCTCGTCAACCGTAGGCTCCTGTAGCAGATGCAACTGATCTGTCACTTCCGCTGGTTGCAGGGCCGAAGTGAATGCGGTCGGCGCAGTCAAATCCGCACAGTCCGCATAGGCTTTAGAGGCCCTCAATCGCATATCATAAATCTCGGAATCATCGATGTCTGAAATCCCACAAATGAACCGCCTGTAATATATGAGCACAAAGAAAGACGCCAATCTCACTGATAGCGACCCACCTATCTCCTTTCGTGTCACGCATCAGAGGATTGTAGTCGAAGATGGCGCCCTTTACCGTACGGAGGTCAACATCGTAGTCGATGTAGAATGACTGGAAAAGAACGGGAAGCGTGATGTCGATCCCCAACTGGGACTTGAAATTCACATTCAGAGTGTTGACGTCCATCCCGGCATCGGAGATAAATGGCACGACGCTTGCAAGATTGAATTCCACGGTTGCCCTGATCCTGCCGTCATCTAGCACTATTTCCCAGCTATCATAAAGCCTGTCGAATTTTCGATTATATTTTTCATTGAGTTGATCTCGAAGATCGTCAAGAATAGGTATCCTCGTTGCTGTGGTCTGAGATCCATCAGGTGGGTACAAAAAGCCCCATTGCACGTCCATACCGGACATAGGATCTTTGGGCTTGTCTAAAGGTTCACCCGGTGCCCATGTGCTCTTGTCGTATTGCATCGAGACGGTGATAAGAGGTATATATTCCCCTTCATCGTCGCTGTCCCTTTCGCCTGTTTGCCGCCTGGAATGAAGCAGTTTGACATTGCCTGCTACGCTTGTTGGCATTGCTTCGAATGCTTGGATGTCCTGCTTGGAGCAGTTCTGTGGTGCATCTGTGGCAGTAATGAGTACCACACCCTTACCCGACAGTCCATGATAGTAGATGGACAGAACTCCGTGTTCGAACACATTTTCTTGGACTTTGCGCGTCCATTGGAGAGTCCTCCTATGCTAATTCAACTTGCATCTCATCTGGGGCTCTCCATCTACAAGAATGCAGCCATCTATGACGCTAATCTCAGGAAGCTTGTATGCTGAAGGCAAATTACCGTCTCCCTTTGCGTGTAGCGAGAACCTCCTCTCTACCCTGTCCAGAGGGACGCCATTGGGTAGCTGTCGAGGGTTATATTTCATCGCCTTTAGCTGGTCACTTGGAGAGACAAGGGCCGGGAAGATCTCGGACCGTGTTATTGGGTCTTCCTCTCTCTTCCCATAACTACCAAAGAGTTCAAAGTTCAGTCGCTCGTGGATAGCTTGAATGTCGTTCTTCGTGAACGTCGAACTGAGCTCGTGAAATGATGCAAGAAGTGAGAGTCGCTTCTTTGGAGGAAGGGCACGAAGGGCACGGGCCGTGGATTCGACAGCTCTCTAATGAATAATCTATAAGTACAAATCAAAGATGGTAATTAGATCCGGGTTGAACTTACGTTGGGGTTATTGATGGCAAGAAGGTAACCGTTCGCATGATGCGACTGCTCGCCTGCCCACAGCGACACGCTGTATACGGTCTGCTCTGATTCATGGCCCACTTCTATAGACCTTATTTCCACAGCATCGTACATATAGTCATCCGGATTGCCGGTCAGGCGATAGATAACATGTCCCCTTCTCAATGGTCCGATCTGAGCGAGTGGACAACTCGTTTTGGCAGAATCTGGATCTACCGCTCGAAGTCCAGTGGTAGTGTAAAATACTTGCGATGGAGTTGTGAAGGGCTTTTCGCCGTCTGTCATTACATCGGTTAACCTAGGAGGGGCAAAATATGTTAATGATGCGGAGCTTACTGAATCCGACCGAGCACACTTTCAGAGACTTGGAAGTTACGGTTCCATACCCCTCGTGGCTATATCGCGGCGGCTTTGCGGACACAAGGAATCGATTATTGTTCGTAACACCCTTTATCTGTTTTGATTTACCTTGAGAAAGATTCAGGTTCGTCCCACATAAAAGACTGGATTGTGATACCACTGGCCAAGGCTGATTTGGTTCAATATAAGTCGAGGATGTAGCTATATTATTAATGTTAATTTTGGCTTCATGTTTCATAGTGCCCACATGAAAGTACGCCGGGATGGGCGAGCCTAACCCTTGTTGATCCAGTCTGTAAGAGCACCAGTATTACGTTCTCTCCACGCGTTGCGTACACCATCGCGCCACTTCTCGGACATGTTGTGGTAGAAGGTCGTGTAGAGCTTTTCAGAGTAGCTTACAAATTCGTTGATGATAGCGGCTTCGTCAATCAGCCTCTTCATACTTGCTTGGATGCTATCGAGGTACGGGCGAAGTTCTGGAAACGAGTCTGTATCAATCGCAGCTATTACTGCTTTGTAGAAGATGACTAGTGCGTCGAAAGTTGACAGCGAGCCTAGCACAGAACAATATGCCATCGTCGCAGCTATACCACAGTTCTTCACGATGTTGTCTATCTTCACTTCATCGCGCTGTGCCTGCTCATCCCATGTCACAAGAGACCAAGCATGTAGTGCTTTAAAGCTTGGTCTGTCTTTTGAGAGAAGTCTCCATATATCAAGCCATGCAGTTTTGTATTTCAGATAGTCCGCAACGAGAAGGACTGAGATGCTAAACAAATGATCTGACCTTGTGGGTTCAGTTAAGGCAAGGTTGATAATTAAAGACTTGGTTTGTATTCTGTTGATAAAGTAGTCCGCGAACCCGGTAGTATTTGCTAGCTCCATGAGGCTAGGATGGCCATTGCTTTTGAATTTAGTGTTGAGATGCTCGGCAAGACACATCGACATGAGGCCCCGGAGTACTTCTGGAGTAAATATAGGATAAAAAAGGAACTGAGGTTAATGAGCTCACGGTTAGCTATTGCTGAAGTATTTCAGGGCCATAATGAAGTAATGAACAGACCGCTGCAAGTTGCGCTGCCTCAGCTACCTGCCACAAGCCATCATCATCGATGCTAATGAATTCGGCAGCAAGGAACCAATTCCCAAGCCTCCTGAATTCTTCCCCGGTATACATGCCATCAAGCACCTGGTCATGGCTTTCATCATTAGCAGGGTACGGTTGGTCAGTGCCAATGTACTTCCTCAGGCTGTCGAAATCTCCATGCCAACGAGCTCGGAAATGAATTCGGCGCGCAAACCCATCAAACGAGATAGCAGGAAGTGTTTTCAAATCCGCAAGAAGGTCCTCCCAAATGGCATCAGAATTAGCGGACATGATCAGTGAATCTTTTATGATTTGATCTTAAGTAGGACTTAAATAGAACTGAAGATAGGGCAGAAGACCATCGATTACTCAACACACTGAGAGGGGTTGTGATGAGGCCATCTCTTTGATATGAATGTCACTTGAAGTAGCAGTATATTCAATTTCTGTTGAGATGTAATGCTTAAGCTTGACATCACCCACATGAGACAAATTCTCTTGTAGTTTGGTGGTACAAGACCAAATGTGCGCGTATGTGGTGGTTGTTGCTCACAGATCACAGCAACTGTTGGCGAAGTTTCCATGGAAGATGGCTGACTAACCAAGTCGCAACCTGTAATCCAGCGAACTAAACCATCTTAGATTGAATTTTGTTCCAGTAGTGCAAATTGTTCAGTCTCTAGTTCTGTACAATTGCTCTGTGATAGTGAATTAAGACAATGTGGTGAATTCCCAAGATATCATATCATATCATATCTCAATAACCGGATATCATCAATAGCACTATGCTTCTAAGCAAACCACAGCTTCATGCTACAATTCCGAAATTACCATCTATGACCCCGCACTAGTATGTTGTCATAGATGATCAAGCTTCAGCACTATCCTCTTCGGCATTTGCGAAACTTTGCTCTTTCGTCAGAACCAAGTTGCGGGTGCAGAGAGAAAATGCAACCAGCGGCACGGTCAAGCAAATGCCGGTAATGCACAGTAGCCTTTGTGTATGCTTGTAGGCAGCCACCACGGCATCGCGATCCGGAGTCCCAATTGGGTAAGTAGCACTGAATGTGAATGGATCCTTATACGCTTGAGTGGCCAATGTGGCGTTGCCGAGTCTACTGTTTAGCTCTCCGGGGAGAATCTGGGTCCAGACCGCGCCAGAAATGCTTCCTCCTACTGCAGTGCCAATATTGTAGCAGGCTAGAAATAATCCTGTGACGACAGCCAGGTCTTTCCAAAGTCAGAAATAACTTCTAAGAAAAGTATTGGAATAACTCACGCTCATGCTTGGTGGCAGCCTGAATGCTGGCCTGCGCAGGGTAGGGAAACAATCCTCCAGCTGGAAGGTCCTAGTTAGTTTCGGTCAATTAGAGGTGTTGCGTCTGGACCTACCAATACCCAGAAGGATTTGGCCGCCAATTATCCCCGAATGACTGGATGATGTGGGCCCTCCGCGGTAATAGATCAAGATTCCGTAGGCTACCATGAACAACAATGTACCTCCAACAATGAATGGTTTGAGACGCCTGACCTTGAATACTACGATACCTAGAATGGAACCGGTGAGGACGCTGGCAAAGCTGTGAAGAATGGGGTCAACGTCTGTACAATTACCGAATTCCTTGTAGCTTACCTGTAAAGGGACCTGATCCTCGTTGCGCTTGTAATACTCTCGCCAAAGCTAACAATGAGGACAGTGTAGAGATATTCACTCTGAAGAGCCCATGCTGCACCTCGTTTAGAAACGGCATCAGAAGGACATGTTCCTGCTTACCAGTGTTTAGCATAACAGCTATCCCCAAGGCACCCCAGACTGCTCTATCCTTTAGTAGCTATACATGCGTTAGTATTATAGCACCAACAATGTGCCGAATTCCTACCTTGAATGGGACCATGGGATGCTTGCAAGCTCTCTCCCAAACAACCCATGCCGGAATGCAACACAGCCCCAAAACGAGAGGGACGATAATCTTTGCTTTCTTCCACTGGGAATCCAGGCCGCCAGCTATCGTGAGAGGTACCAGAATCATGGCAAGGAAAGCGATCATCAAGATAATGCCAATCACGTCCAACTGCCAAAACAACTCAATCGCCAGGCGACGAACACCCAAAGTCCGAAAGGAGCTTGCGATATGATCTACTGTACCATCCTTTTTGGCCCTGTGGTACACAATATAAAGTACCATGAGAAGAGGGAGCGTGCAGACTAGAGATAATCAGCAATTATCTGATTCAGGGGGGCAGTGTCCTACTTGGATAGATTATTGCAAACATGCCGATTCCCCAGCGCCATGTAGTCACTCCCAAAACAGCCCCAGTTATGTTTCCACTAATCCAAGTGTTGATCTATCAGCGTCAGAAACAAATATATAACTTCCCAATCTGTCCACCTTACCAAGAATGGAAGTGTTGGAATATATGAGAACAGCAGACGAGAGCGAAGCGAAGTGACGTCCGCAACCAGAACCTCGACCAGTAGGATAATAGCCGTGTATCCAATCTATTGTTCATCAAAACGTTAGCCCAAATGTAGCAGGAATTGAAATGCGGGATCGGACTCAACTCTCACCTGATACAACACAGCGCCCGCAGCAAACTGCTCGACCGTACTCGAGGACGCCTCAACTATAGTCCCTAACTAGGTGGTTAGAACATAACGAGCTCGAGATGCATTGAACTCAGTACCAAGAGTATAGAAGAATATTGAGACCAAGATCAATTCCACTCTCCCAAAAACATCGGCGATCTTAGCTGCAGTTGGCTGTGAAACAAAGCAGATTAGTTGCTGAACTGGGAGACAAAAAGACCACAAACCTGCGCTGCTGCTGCAATAACCGCTCTTAGGATATCGACACTTGATAACACACTATGTAACCCATATGACGCCGTTGCGTATGGCTAGATAGCCGTGAGAATGAATAGTTCAGTAAACATGCTGATGGAGGCCAACCTGATAAGTGCCCCGCAGTAGGCCATCGAGACCGTAGACGTAGGCAATGAGGAAGACTCCACAGAAAAGGAACACACGGTCGAGGATATGTAGGTGAGATGAAAGAGCCTCGATCCGCTTGACGCCTGGACTTCCAGTATCGGATGTCACGCCAGGGCCTTGTGCATCATGAGCTGAAATGTGAGCCTCGGTAGCATGAGAGCTCTCCTTATTGTTGGGCATTGTAGCTCAGACCTACTTATTCTGTTTGATATCCAGAGGGAACTTTGGAGCTGAAAGCAGAGCAGTGGTGTAAAAGAGAGTGGGGAAATTCGAGGGGATAAGAGAGTGTGGGACAGTGGTAGGAACGTCAGCGCCCATCATCCCACCATCAGCTAAAACCCAAAAGACGGGAGTAAAGTCCATCTTTCATCCATTTCATGGACAGCTTACTTCCTATCTTATCTGATGAAAGAAGTTGAAGTCTCGAAAGACCCCACTTCAATCTGATAAGTTGTACTGCATTGCAGTAGTTAATTTGCCTTGAAGGTATTCACATCAACAGGTATTTCCATATCCTACAAAACGCCGATCGGAAAGATACGTTGTGGCCGTCCTCTGGTTAGTATTCCAGGGCGTAATATCAATATCATGATGAACAGCTAGCTCTGGCTACTTGGCGCAACTCCGAGTGCTACTTTCGTCATGTGTATATGCTCAGGTTATATCACCATATGGCGCGCCATTTCTGCAGATGTATGCGCCTGGCTGGCGTCATGCTGAGGAGTTGAATATAATGTTGAACAACCAATATGGATCTTGCCTTGGCTTTGTCCCAACAACGAATCCTCACTTCATGTAGTCAGTGATCTTTGCGGTGTTCGCTGCATCGCAAGGGCAATTAATCTAATGATGTCCTTGAAGATAACGAACCATTCAAATTTATGAAGTCAACCAGTCCACCCGACCGAGCGCGTACTAAACTTTTACGATCCTCGGAAATGAATGCCGGTTCTCTCCAAAATTTCAGTCTTACGCATTATGGGTTTCTGACCGCGTTCTCAGATCACCATTCTTGTTCATGGCTTGACCAGTATCAACGAGTCAACTGCGTATCCTAGCCCTTGCGCTGATGGTGTGGAATGTTACACAGGCCAGCTTCTTTGTATGCTAGGGATCAGTAACTTCCAACCGGTGTAGCCTTAGAATGGCGAAGTGAATGGGGCAGAAAGTGAGGGTATCCTCATTACCCGGAAGCAAAAGAGTGTGGTTATAGATAGTAATGCAGCAAAAAGCTATTTCTTATATATAATAGACGGGACTAGTAAACAGCCCTATGGATGAAAACACAAATGACGATAAGATAGGAAGGCCAAGAAAAAAGAAGATGACCAAATTGGTGCTGTCTAGTAAGCCGGGTAGGTAAAAGAAACAAAACAAAAGATAAATCACATTGCATCATCCGTGAATCGAACACGGGCCTCATCGATGGCAACGATGAAATATATCCTCATAATATGAGATGCAGCCAAATCCACGACGACGATCGTCATCCACTGCACACATCATCATGGCATAATCTTGACCATCTCACCTGATGTATACACATCCTTCCAAGCTTGTGTTGTGCCAGGGTTGCAGACACCTAATTATCTATTGCGCTCATCATTTACAGCACAAAGGCTAGTGACATGTTTTAATTGCAAGGGGGGTTTCCCCGAGTGTTACACCAACCATCGTTTGCACCCAAACTATGCAAGTCAACTCCCAACAAGGAAATACTAGATGTGTTGCCAAATAAAGGTATTCCTATAGAAAACGGAATAAAGTCCTCCGAAGCTCTGGACAATGAGTTGAGAGGGACAAGAAGCGGATACGGTACTCTATCAGCCTCCGAGCATGTTCAGGCACCGTTCGACAAGGACGTTTACAATCAGTGACTGGCTCGCGGTTGACATAGACTGTTTATCCTAGATAATCTACGTAATGTCCTGAAAGCCTGCCGGTAGCCTGACAAAGCATGACTCATGACCAGGTTATGTTAAGAAGAACCTTGATAGCCGGACATCTCGCCGAACCTTAACCAACAATCCTTGTTACGTTTCCCCAAGCTAACAGCGAAAGGTTGACTACTATGCTTTGACCGGCACTAAAATTGTAAAATGCCCTGCAGGTGATAGACAATCCCAGATGACGGGTGGAATGTGCTGGTGGACACCCATGACTCTCCGGATACGGCTGCTCGCATTAGCTCCTCTGCATATCTTATGGATGAATTGCCCCTGGAATTGTGGCACACTATATATTCAAAAATGTCTCGCTCCTGCGGGTACTGATGATATTCATCATCAAAGATTGCATAGCGCACTTACTATATGGATACTGGGCTACACTTATTCTTAGAATTTGCCACATACAGTCTTAGTGGCCCTTCGCTATCTACGCCATGGACGAAATCGTGCGAGATACACTCCAAGGGCTTTCAGAAATTGTCGGGGACAAACTTCTATGCGATCAAGCAGCCCTAGTCAAACGTCCAACAAAGGAGCAGCTGGTCAAGTTGTTGAAGTCTTCTCCTCCTGAGCAAGGGCGATCATTGGAAGATGTTGTGCAAGAATTCGAAGATATCCTCTCTTTTCGCTACAGCGTCAACCACCCAAGATTCTTCGCCTTTGTACCCTCGGCAGCCTCTCCTTTATCGTGGCTAGGAGATGTTATTTCAACCGCCTTCAACAATTATGCAGGGAGCTCGGAGTCGGGTTCCGGTATCTGCGCGGTAGAAGAATCTATCATTCGCTGGGTAGCTGAAAAGTTCGAACTGCCCCCATCAGCAGGGGGACAGTTTGTGTCCGGTGCTTCCCTTGCTTGCCTGACTGCATTGACTGTTGCACGGGATCAGCTTGTGGAAGATGACATGCGCACAAGAGCAACAGCATATATCGCCGAGGAGACGCACTTCTGTGTAGCCAAAGCACTCCGTATAACGGGCCTGCTAAAGCACCAGATAAGGACCGTGCGCTGCAATGCGGAGTTCCAAATGGATCTGGGGAGTCTTCGCCAGGCTATCATTCAGGATATCGAAAACGGCTTGAAGCCGTATGTGGTAATTGTAACCTGCGGCTCAACCAATACTGGGAGTATTGATCCCCTTGATGCAATCGCAGATATAGCAGCAGAGTACAGAATGTGGATGCACGTCGACGCTGCTTATGGAGGATCAGTTGCTTTTTGCGAATCGCGCAAGGACCTTCTGAAAGGTATAGGCCGCGCTGACAGCATCGCCTGGGATCCTCACAAGTGGCTCTTCCAAACCTATGGCTGTGGTGTTGTCCTTTTCAAAGAAAGGGTCCGTCCAAGGGAGAGCTTCGCCACAACCGCGCACTTCTTGCGTGATGTCGAAGACGGATATATTGAGAATCCTTTTAACTTTGGGATCGAGTTGACACGACCAGCTCGTCATATGAGGCTCTGGTTTTCTTTACACATCCTCGGGACAAACATGATTGACCGGATGATCCTGCGCGGGTTTGAACTGTCCGATCTCGTTGAGACTGAAGTGAGCAAGCTCAGCGATTGGGAAATCGTCACACCTAGTAGCATGGCTGTTATCAACTTCCGCTTCAATCCGCCTGGAATGAGTGCAGAAGCTATCGACGATATCAACAGTCTTGTCTCCAAGAGACTGGCAACTCAGAATATCGCAGTCGTGTTCACCACTCGTATTCGCGGGGTTGTCTGCCTCCGAATGTGTACCATCAACCCACAGACCACAGATAACGACATCCGCGATGTTATCAACGCTTTGGATAAAAGTGCACGACTTGTCAGCAGAGAAATAACAGAATGGAATAAAGAATGCTGAGAAATATAAGTATCATTCCACTGTAACCAGAGTCGTTTCGTTGTCTCAAGCAGAAATGGCGTAACACAAGTTGAAGGGAGGGATGAGTGGGTGTGGTTTGCGTAACGATTGTCGCATTCGAGACTGATTGCTTCAAGGTTGCTCTGATCAGCTGACTCTTAGTTGAACGCATGTAACCGAGATTATTTGATTTGACAGTTAATGCGTTATATGCAGCAGCACCGAATGAATACGGTTCTTGCTGTGCCATTGTGGACCGTTAAAAAGCCTGGCTTACCACACGAAGCCTGGATGGAATAGAATCATAGTAAATTTGGACAGCGAAGCAAGTAAATCATAAGAAAGGGGTATATGATGAATATAGTCTCAGCTGATGGGTATCGAATTCCCGTTCAGCCTTTCGAACCGAAACCCCTTGCTAACTAGCCCGCCCGACTTCAACCAAGCATTGAGCTCGCTCGGGTGAACGACATGGAATATCAGCATGACCGCAAACATAAGCAACGCGTCAAATACATAGAGGTACACCTCATGAGAAAGCAAATATCCCCCAAACCCTTCGATATACTCGATAAGACGGTAAATCGACCGCACAAGAATGAGCACGCTAGCTGAGTACAATACCCAGATGAGCTTTTTCCAGTTTATTTCAAGGGAGCATGGTGTCGGACTTTGTAGCATGCGATGGTGGAAAATTGCGGTGGTTATGATGAAGAAACCGAAGAAAACAATCTGGACGACGAGACCGCCAACAATGATATGCGACCCGGTTTCAGTACCGCTTTTAGAGTGACTACCCATGAGACCAGCCCCTGCAGGTCGAAGATTGAGGATTTAGCATGAGTTTGTAGCGATTTCTCGGCAACTGCAAGTGCTCCTTACCTCCAGCTTGAAGCAGAAATGATAGAACATCACCGGTGACGAAGATCTTGGTCAACCATTTCACTCGAATGAGGCTGTGTTGTTGAGCATGAAGAACGATGATCAATCTCCCCAATTCCATATATATACTAGCCGCAAAGAGCGCAGGTGCAACCAGAGGAAGGAGCGAGTTGATCAGGAAAGGGCCCATGGTCCAATTGGGGGATTGATTGGCAGAGACGGCACGGGCGCAGTAGCCTACAAATTCAACTGCAGTGAAACAAACACATTAGAAATAAGTGCCCAATATTTTGTATAATCTTCGTCTTGACTCACAGTAGCCCCCGATAAGGAACGGTATAAAGAACCATGTTTTCGTCCGGACGAGCTGGAACGTGTGCAAGAGCGTGGTTAGCAGGAAACAGATGATGAATATCACCGCCGCTGCTAGAGAGGGGTAGTAATAGTAATATTCAAAGCCTGAACGAATTGCAACCCCCATTGTGTGCAGCTTTAAGTCTCCTCTCCCTTGGTTTCTCTAAAAGTTTCCTTTGGGCAAGACTACAGTTCAAGCGCGGAGAAGTCTGGGGCATGGGCAGGCCAGCTTTAAAAGGCATCGTCTCGGGTATCGAATATGATCTAGGCATAATCATTTCATTCGAAAACTATGCCCTTTTGAGAAAGAGAAACGCTATCCAAGAGATAGCAGAGGCCCTCAGGTCCCACTGGACGTGTCCTCAATTCGAGCATAATGTCTCTAGGCGATACGCTTAGTCATTAAAGTAAGACTGAACTCGAAATGGTGCATCCTTATTAGCCAGTGATCTAGGCGTATCGACGATTGTTGCTGGGCTGCCGTGGTTATGCAAATTGTTCACCTTCCGAAAGAACAGCCCAGAGAACAAGAATCGAAGAGTGGAACCAACAACAGTTGCTGATTAGCCGCGAAGAATTGGTTCCGAGGCCAATTTCGAAAACCATTCCGTAAACAGGATAGTTTACGGGTTAAATTTGCTGCCTCAGGTCCCACACGCCGAGACGCTGGGATTTCCCCAGAATTCGCCTCGCCTCCAACAGCGCACCATATCGGCTCAGAGCGACGGTTGTTATCTGCATGGTCTAGGGAGATAAAGTGAATGGCATGCCCTCTCGACGGTCTCACACTAAATCCCATCACGGCTGTGCCCAGTGCAAACATCGTCGGATAAAATGTGACGAGTTTCGGCCTATTTGCGGCTCCTGCCATAAGAAGCACATCAGATGTTCATTTGAGGGCCAAATCACACCCCAAATATCGCATCACAGCTTTGCTGCTTCCGGTACCCGCGTCGATCTCATTCCGAGAAATGACGGCTTCCAACTCCCACTGTTGGACTTGGATCTCTTGAACCACTGGCACGTGGCGACCGTGCGGACACTGGTACACGACAAATCCACAGAGAAGGTTCTGCGGGAGTTTGTCCCACAGGAGGCTCTATCGCATCCGTTTTTGATGCACAGTCTATTGGCTTTATCCGCACTTCACCTAAGTCACCATGGCCCCGTCGAGAGAAGACACAAGTACACCGAGGCCGCCATGACGCACAACAACATTTCGCTATCTTTGTGTAAGCCTCTTCTAAATAATGTAACTTCAGGAAACTGCCATGCTTTGTTTGCATTCTCCTGCTTCGTCGTTATGTTCTCGTTTGCTGCGCACGGACCAAAGGCCGACCCAGGAGCTCTGCGCCTGTCGGCTGTTCTTGAGGTTTTCATGTTAATTCGGGGTGTAGCTTCAATAGTGGGACAGGCTCGCCCATGGATTGAAGCGGGCGGCATGCGAGATTTACTGAAACTCGGCGAGCAGCCACGTGAGGAATCAAAGACAACGCGTGCGCGGGAATTATATACTCGCATATCGGACATTTATGACAATTTGAGACGGTCTTCTCGGCCGGACTGCTATGATAGCGAGAGCTTAGTGATTGAAGAATCCGTTCAAAAGTTCCTTGACCTGCTGCAACAGGCAATCAGTGTGGCAAATCCGGTTCCCTCCATTATGATGAGGTGGCCTGCCGTGGTCAGTGTGAAGTACCTGGATCTGTTGCAGGCAAATCATCCCACGGCACTGGTGGTTCTCGCTCATTATGGTGTTGCACTGGAACTGATGGCTGAGAATTGGTGGTTGGATGGGTGGGGTGCGTTTTTGGTGAACATTGCTTTGTATCGTTCGGGACCGGATTATGGGCCAGAGCTTGTATGGGCACGGAAAGCTATCACCCGGGAGTGATAAAGCTCAGTCGTTCAGTCCATCTTCATAGGAAGATCGAATCGAAGTGTCTTTCACGGTCGCGTGCTATAGAACCTGGAAAACAACCTTGAGGCATGCTTGCTGAGAGTCTCTGCCGCATCTACATATGCAAACTAGATCAAGCGTCAAGCCTGAGAAGAGGATGTTACTGGCGCTGCGGCCTTTCTTCCAACGGTATTCATGGACTCAGAGACTCAGTCTTACTTATCAATGGCTCGGGGCTTGTTCGGGTGGAAGCTCAACGTGGTCTGAAAATACCTCAACATGGTCGAGGGGGTGTGTACAACTCAATCCCACTCCCTTGATACTGCAACGGATTTCTCCACCATTTCAAGATTGACTTGGGAGTTTCAGGTGAATTAGGGTGAATAGGATAGTCGGGGTACTTCTAGATACTCTTGATCAGGAGATTATCTATCTATCTCAAATGTCCTAAGCTCATCGTGATCTAAGAATATGTAAAACTAATCGAACTCAGTTAATATCATACTCTACTTATCAACCATCTTTGACCTTTCTAAGGACGCCAGGGTGCATTGGGCTATTGAGCTAGTTAGGATAACTATCAAAGCTTTAAATCAAGAGACCCTCCATTTAGAAAAGATATTTTGAGCTCATCCTGGTGAATGAACTCTTTCGAATCTAGGTGAGATTTAGATACCCTTAGACCACGACGAACTGTAGACCCCTTTGTGCGTTTTGAGCTCTATACTTTCCAATCCGCCCCTGTCCTTTGTCTTGAGTCAAATCAACGTGCAACCAACTCCACCATAAGGGGCGACTTCATCCAAACAGCATAGGTCTCTTGATCTTCCCATTCACCGAGAGCCTCTCGTCCATTCGGCAACACGAAGTCGAAGTGATAAACCAGGTATCCTATTACGAGCGACATCTCCAACCGTGCCAAATTCTGACCAATACAGTCCCGCGGCCCCTGCAAGAATGGTTGTATAGCAGAGCGCCGGTCGTTTGCGAAGCGACCCTCATCGGGGTTCAGCCAACGCTCCAAATGGAACTTGGTAGGGTCGGCAAAGTTTCGGGGAGACACGCCCGCAGCCCATAAATTGTATGCTACTTTGCTCTGTATAGTTGTTCCATTAGCCTTGTGCCTGAAAGATTCTCGGAAGCGTCATGTACACTTACACCCTCGGGAAAATATTGTCCACACACGGTATGTCCTCCCCTGGGTACAAGTCTCGTTATTCCCAACGGCACAGGCGCGGTTAGTCGTATACCCTCCTTAATGGCTGCGTCCAAGAGTGGCAGTTTCGATAGCTTATTCGCATCCAGATCCTCCTCATCAGGGAAACTACTCCGAACCTCTTCTGCTACCCGGGCAAGGGCTTCAGGGTTCTTGAGTAAGTGGAACAGGATCCCCGTGAGAGAGGATTGAAGTGTATGGCTTCCTGCGAAGATAAAGGTAGCCGCGTTAATCTCCATCTCGGGCTCTGTGAGCTCGTTCTTCGATTTGAGAAGGTATGAGAAGAAATCCGGTCGGTCTACTGCTGTATGTAGGCGCTTTTGGACCTTCTCATTAGTCATGGCCTGATGCCTTTTTACCATCAATTGGGCGGATTTGGGTAAACTCTTGACTAGGTAGTTGAAGAGCCATGGATAAAAGCGGAAAGCCGCAATCTGCACTTTGCCTTTCACAGAGTTGACTACCATCCCGACCCATTCGTGGTAATTATCATTGTCCAGGCAGCCAAAGTCTTCACCGAAGCTCAGTGAGCAGATGATGTCGAACGTGCAGTACGTGACCCAACGCTGAAGGTCAACTATTCTCTTAGATGGGTCCGTGCTATTGGCCCGGGACTTCAACTGGGCGACCATTTTGCAGACATATGACGTTACCAGTGGCTTTTGGGCGTTTAGGGCCTGTGTACTAAACGCGGGGGCATATGCTTTTCGAATACGCGAGTGGTCATCGTCTTCCACATCAAGAATGTCGCCAGGCTGTCCAGGTTGTGGAGGCTTTTGGCGGATTGGATCCTTGGGTAGCGCCTTGTAATGTGGGTTATTGGGACGACGGCTGTATATGTCTTTTATGCAATCGGGATCCAAGAATGACACCTCATCCGGGCCCACACGAACAGTATCGCCATAAATATCGTGGAATCTTTTGATGTCGTGAGCAAGCCGACCCGACCGAAAGGCGAGCATGTAAGGGAGTCGCGTCAGCGCCCAGAGCCGTGGGCCATCGTAGCGGGAGAGAGGATGGAAGTAGAGCCGTTTTATTGCTAGGAGAACAGGCAGCTGGAACGAATTAGGTAGCAGTACTAATGAGAACGCCGAGAGAATATCGTACCAGCAGGACTGTCACGATGGTCGCGTATGTAGTAACGTTGAGCGCCATTGTGACGGATGGGGAGCTGAGTGGATCATGATGGGTGGAGGGTTTCTTTAAATGCGGTTGATCCCTGCTGGACATCTGACAAAGGCAACTTTCCCTCTGTTAGCGGGGGTCGAATGGGAGCCCTTTAAAGTATCAAGAATGGGGGCAAGGCAATGCGACTGGGCGGTGTACTAGTCCAGCATGCATGAACAGCCTTGTGCAGATGTCCACGCTGACGTTCATTGGAGAGGATCGCCTGCATCATTAATACGTACTCAGGTAGGACTAGTTTATTTCTGCATTTCAGATAGACGATCACTGATTGGATGGCAGGCAGCCTTCATGTTTAGCGAACAGCCGAGAGTAAGTGACAGCTCAAATACTTACTAGTGCTTATGCTTAGTATGTCCTGGGACGTCTAGACGGTGTTCCACATCTTACACCTGGGCGGGCCAGGAGGCCCACAAGCATTATGAGATCTCGCAGTTGTGCTCGCTAGTAGATTCGGTTACTTTCAATGAACAATCAGATATGGAATAAAGATTACAGTAAGTAATTGTCTTACTTGCTCGATAAATTCCGCCATCATCAGAGCATCATTGCACTGCCTCTCGCTCTCAATTCTTCCGGTCGGCATATGCAGTACAAGCGTCGTCGTTTCTCCTCGCACTTAATATCCGAGGTCACATCACCACAAAGAGGAGACTTTGTCAGGTGTGTATGGTGCCAAATACGGGAATAAAGAGCTGCACCTAGGCAGGAGAAGTTACAGATCAATAGCAGTCTGGTGACAAACCAAAGTAGATGAACTCATGCCGTGCTCTCCCTTGTCCTTAAGTCGTCGAGCAGTTCGGGTTGGTATGGCAGTAAAGTCATGTTCATCAATGCTACTTTTTGGGAATATCATCAGCTGGCAAATGCAAGCGCGAGCCGAAAATTAGCGTGACGGGACATTATCTGCATAGTATGGTATAAGTCTGGGGCGAAGCGGTAATGCAATACCGTTGAAGCTGCAATTCCCCTTCTATTGTTTCTGCTTAGTGGGGAATAGCCCCGAATAGCTTGAAAGATGCCAGAGAATATGCGAGAGAATCCAAGCGCGGATGTGCAACGCTGTCTAGTGCAGACTTAGATCGATTAGTTGCAGCTTGATCCTTTAGATTAGCCAAACTATGTAAATGATGCCAGTCACCCCCATCCATCCTACGGCTTTCTGTGCACTGCTGCAACCATTGCTTTGCCACTAAGAACATACCTAAGCAGTCTGGTCAACGCACGTATAGCCTCAAGCCAATCTTCTTTCAAATATAGGTTATAACCCCGTGTGAACTCCAGATCAAACTCTTCCTCATCTGAGCATCCATATAGATGCACTCTAGCAATAAGATCTCGCGAGAAGAATCCACGACATATGTGAAGATACGGCCCATGGAAACCAACAACAAAGACCTCCTGACTTTGAACACCGCCATGCGGACTTATTCTTAGGTTCATAGTCAGATGTCCCAGCATAGTGCAAATTGTGTCCGTCAATAGTTCATTCCAAGTTTGTCCCTCGTACCACTGTATACCATTAGATTGCAGCCTTTTCCCAAGCAGTGGCTAATATACATACCCCAGTAAAAGAGATTATTGGTATAAAATCAGCTCGTGTCCCAACGTGAACATTACCCTCTAGTCGGGCAGCATATTGTACCCTGCCCACTGCGTATCTCACATCACGTGGGAATGGTATGACGCTAGAAACATGTTACCATCATGCTGAGATAACCATCCACAGTGGATTTGTCACTTACCCAAGCCTCGGGGCCTCTTCATCCACATCATCAAGCCTATAATAGATATTCCGCATCAAGTCGGCAAACATATGGCTTTGCGAGTAGATGAAATTCATATGAGATGATCGTTTACTGACTCTCCAGCTTTTTCGGGGCAATGTGATTGTCTCGCTGGGTTTCAGGATATTCGATATGCCCGTTTCCTTGCACAAGATCTCTGAAATCATATTTCCATGTCCTTGCTCCTCTATATAGTCGACTAGTGAAGCAAACAAGTTCTTGAAGAGATGTTCCTCCTCTGGCCAGTCCTGTGTGCAGTCCCAGTCCATGAGATCCGTGTGTTGGAAGACCCAGGGGATGAATTGTTCGACATCTTCATCTGATATCATGCGTTAGCAAATCGTCTACCAAATAAGAGTGTCTGGAGTAGATACATTCGCGTTCAACATCAACGACTCTGGGTATCAAGCAATCAAGCTCAACTACTTGCGAGTTAACGGTTATTGACATCTCTCGAGGTGTAGGAGGCAGATCGGCGGGCGACCAGTCAATATTTGACGTTATTGTGTGGGTTGAGGATTGTAAGAGGCATGGGATGACACCTACTATTATATCTCTGGGATTCTCTGGGGTGATCTGAGCTGAGCCAGCCACGAAGGCATTGAAGGTAAGACAAGCTCTGACTCTAGATCGCACGGCATCTCCCGGTTGTACAGAGCACACTAATTCTTTTAGCAATTTTGTCTTTTGTGATTAGGCTTCTACAATATCTGCCACTATATCTGGAAATTTCGGAATGGCCCGTTACGCCACGGTAGCTAATTAGCCTTTTTAGTCACATACTGAACTCAATGTAGAAAACTTGGTTGTTAAAAGTGTGCAGCACACTAATCATTAGCCTTATCTATATGAACTACTTAGAACAGTGGCGATGGCCAGGCAAGCAATGCTAATGATAGTGTAACCTCCCTCAGTGGTACTAGGTATTGTATACTTGAGACTCATAGAGATTTATACTAGACGTAGTATGTCTAAGTTGACGTATGATTTTAACCAGTACGAGACTAATCCAGACGGCTGCTACAACACGTGGGATAGGTAATAGCTACATGTCAGAGGATTTTAGAGAAATTATATATCAATTACCTTGTTCTCAAGGGCAGATGAAGCAGGTCTTAGATGAAATAGAGCGAATGAACCCTTGAAAGACGAGGCGGAAGTAAGAAGCCTCTGTGTTCAGTGACGATTTCCTGTCGGGAAAGAGATAAAAGATCACAAATATTAATTATCGTCACTGAATCATTAAGAACACAGATTCGATCGTGCAAATGCCGGCATCGTAGTCATAGATTGGATTTGTTAAGGGGTGATCTTTCTATCCTAACATACACACTAAAAGGCTGGCTCATCACCATTGCGTCGGTATTGTGTGGTTTCGGGCGATGGTTTCTTACAGCACATACGCCCGACATAGTGACAGCTGCATTGCATCCGCAGTATCGCTGTCCTTGCTTCCACATATGCCGCAGAAGAATCCCAGTTGGTTTCCATACATTGTTAAGTTATTAGTGATGCTGAATTATACCAGTTCCTTACCAACATACCTTACAATAGGAACATAAAAACCAAAAAAAAAAAAAAAAAAAAAAAAAAAAAAAAAAGAAAAGAAAAAGAAAAAGAAAAGAAATAAATACTGGACTATATTTCAGGCTATATACTGAGAATGTACTCTCATATGAAATGTTGGGAGTCACTGACCTAGTCTATCTAGCCTGGCTATCTAGTGCGGCGACAAATAATTCAATAAGCTGTACCGAGGTGTGAGAAAGCGCGACATTACTATGTTCAGCACGAAGCAAGAGGTACACTTACATACGAAGAGTATCGACCATCTTTGCCAGCTCTACGGAATACTTCCCGTCGCTCATCCAGCTGGTCCTGGCAACAATAGAGCATCTCTTGTAGTTCCTCATTCATCTTGAGATTACTCAGGAATGTCTCTGCATTGGCATCATTGCCAACTCGGGAGATGAGAAACACCGCACCAGCTGGCTGCATGGAAAGTTCACTCAGCCTCTGTTTGCAGCTCAAGATAGTCTCCCCAAAACAGTTCTCGTGTTCACCTTCTGGCTGATGTTTCGATCGGATTAGTCTTTCCTCTGACATTTGATGAAGCTAGACATTACTCACACGTCCATCGGTTACGACAATAGTAATCACTGGCTTCGCAGACAGGCCATTTATCACAGGATCGTAAATGAGAGGCTCAACGATTTTGGTTCTGAGCACAGTTCCCAGTCTGGTCAACCCAGAATACTTTATCTTCTTCATTTGACCTTGGATCTCATTAGGAGACAACTTGTTTAAATGCCGATCTTCTGCATTGTTTAGAAACCGGAGATACACGTCCTGTTCGTGTACAGCGCTAGCGATTTCAGCAACACGTTGACAAGTTTCTTCGAGAGCCCGTATGCGAGTGCCCCTGTCTTTTCTCATCGACTTGCTATCGTCTAGTGCACAAGGTTAGCTCGGAATCAGAGTATCTAGGGAAGTGAATCAAATACCGCAAAGTATCACAAAGTCATATAAGGCCATAATGGCCAACTTTGGCGTGGTTTCAGCTTTCAACTCATACTTCTGTGTGAGACTCCTGGCGCGGACAGCTGCACTTTTCACTATCTCTTCCACGTATTGGTCACCCGGTTGATAATACGAACGGAGTTTATTCTCAATGTAACTCCAGACATATTCTCGATACTCTTCCTCAGTCTCGGGCACCTTGGGCTCCAATGAACGTGGCGGTGACGAGTCTTCCGGTTGTCGAATCCCGAGTTGTCGGCTAAATTCCGTGAGAAACTGATCGATAACTTCGGCGACAATCTCATTGATAGTATCCTCCTGCTCGTCGCCGACAGTTGAGGCTTCAGACTCATCGCCCCATTCCGGATCCATAGCTCGTAACCTGGCAATAGAAGCAATGGTTACTGGTATGTCGTGGTGACTAGCGTTGGACTAGGGAAATCTAAGTATGATTTCTGCCTTCGGTCCGACATCTTTAACGTCGCTGCCATAAGGATGCCAGCACACAACTCGATGATAAGGTAGCCATAGACTCTGTGCGCGTGATTGAGGGTTGAGAACCCAATATCGCATAGCCAGCTTCTCCCCTAGTACGGTA